ATATTATATCAGATATGTTGCGTCTGATGTGGGGCAATATTATATTCAATCCCGTAAATGAGGCTGGAAAAATAAAGCATTGAGAGGAACAAATGTGATGAAAATCAGGATGCACGAGTTTGGTCAATACCTGTATTCTTCCTAATTTCGCATCTACCGCATGAACAAGAGCGAAATTATACCAGGTGATTATCAATCGATTGATTCCGGTTTCAAAGCATATTTGTGCAGACTTCAGATCAGACTGTAAACCAGTCGTGATGATTTTTACCTGCTCAGATATGGATTAGTGTGGGTTGAATGTGAATTATTCATCCAGCCTAGAAGACAAATCAGCCCGTTACCTGGATGGAAGACCTGATTTGGTAGGAGCCTTTCAATTGGAGTTAACAGATAGTCTACTGTGTCTCCCTTCGTTGCTGACGGGCCAACAGGCAACTGACTGACTGTCACTGAAGATAACACCTGAACAAACATGAGTTGGCAATTCGGTTCAGTCCTGGTATGAGCTGGTTGGCGCAGTGGTAACACACATGTCTTCCATGTGATGGGTCCGGAGTTCAAAAACCCGGACAAAACGGTGGATATGCACGACCAATAAGCTCTAATAGATGCGAAACTGGAATCTAGTGCTTCCCGAGTGCATGATTGAATTGAGGAATGTGAATGAAGATGAGGGATGTTCAGTTCAAATCAATATCAATTAAGCCACACCACTATTCACAAACAACTGTGAGTTAAATATGAAGGAATAGCCATATTGATTGTTGTGACATTGGCAGGCGGTTTCGCCCGCTATATAAACTCATTTACGTCGTTGGCATTTGCCAACTTCATACATTGGTGGCGCCGTCGCGATATCTAGCTGTCTGTGAAGAGTCGAGTTTATGCCGCGGCAGTTCGGCCAGTTCTGCTATATGGGGTAGATATTTGACCAATAAGGAAACAGGATAAAGATAGACTGTCGGTGTTTGAACACCACAGTCTACGTAGCATTGCACGAGTTTGGTGGGGCAGCCGAACGAGCAATGCTGAGGTGAGGCGCAGAGTTTCGGATAATCGCGGTCACCCACTGGAGCAAGTGGTCGACCTCCATAGATTACACTGGTTGGGGCATCTGTTACGCATGTCTCCAAATAGGTTGTCACGGCGAGCAGTGTTCGCCTAGGCAGGTAGTGGGTGGAAGAAATGCGAGGGCGGTCAAGCTAAGACCTGGCATGAAGGTATGCAAACCCTAACCATGAGAGTGGCTCACATAGGTCCCGTTAGGCTCCCTGGATGGAGACCTCGGGATGATGGTCACCGATGGTCAGGGACACTGAGTGATATGGCTGAGTGTGATAAACAGTGGCGTTCGTGCATACTGTCAATCTCTCTGCAACATAAGTCCACTGAAATTCCAAATTTTCTCTTTGATCCTACTTTCAACCTTTCCTGTCCTTCTCCTAATGTTCATCCACATGGGTAGAGAGACAGCAACCAAAATCGGCGCACGATAGTGCATGGTTAATGGTTGTACAAACTAAAACTGAAACATACCCGTACTACACACACAAACAAACTGCTCTTACCATTCATGTGTACATCATTACTTTCTCCCGTGGCTTGTGGTATACCTGGTGGTGGTCAGAAAGGTGCTCTACTAGATAGAGTCGAGAGTGATCTAAACTAGTATCTTCTTACGGAGCAGTGTCACGTTGATAAGATCTGTTTTGATCCACAACATGAGTGGAAAACACGATATCATGGGGTCGGAAAGGAACAACCGTAAACAGCAATCGTAAACAGTTACCTGATAGTAGTGTAATCTCATCGATCGATTGTGGTGTGGTGCTGCTGGAAGAACAGGCGAAAATCGTTCATTTTCTCCAAAAAATGTGCCATTCAGCCGAATCGCATCTGATTAACTTCGAATCTTCCTGCAAACGGTTGCAGCGTTTCAGGACGGTCACTCGGTACAATGAATCGAGCCACATGGGCTGTGGATAATATGGACTCCTTACAGAGTGGATTTTGCGCATCCAGTGCATAGTGGAGCCTCTAATAAGCAACTCTACTGACATGAGGAAAACCGGTCTAACATTAACATAATGAAAATCTTAAAAGTCTCATGCTAAAATTCTCTCGAATCCTGCCAGAACACTTGATTTCACTGTTTCGTTCTGCACAGTATTCAGATACCCAGTGTCTTTCAACGATCAGTCGGGATGGATTAATTTCACTCACCGATCTTTCTTTTTTATCACACACAATGGTGTGACCAGTGGTACAGGGTATTTCACTTCTTAGTGGTCCGAAAACCTTTACTCCGAGATTCGAATTAACGGAGCTGCACAATCCTCTTTCATGAATCAACTAGCCGATGACTGCTAAACGAACGGGATATGTCTGTTCGGTAAACTGTTTTGTTTTCCGTCACTGACGCTCCTGCTTATTCTGTTGAACAAGTAACGGTTATTCTTCTCTCCCGGAAGCATCCCAAATCCAATCCAATTGAGGCAAACAACACTGCCTCATAATTGTCCATCTGTCGGAAGTATGTGCCGTACAACTTGCAACACCTATTGCTGCGTTATATAATTGATGTGCATCATCCGTGACTATCTCGGATTGCTGGAAAGCAGCCGTAGTACCACGTACCCCAATAAAGATACTTCCAAGTGCCGAAAAATTGCTTGTGCTTCAACGCTATCCCTTAGTGGTTTTTTAATCGAAGCGTGTTGTTGTTCTTTTGATTCTCTGGGACTGTTTATTTTGCTCATCGTTCTCATCTATATGCGAAACCCACTATTATGGTCCTTGTTATTATTATTATTATTGCGTTGACACCGTGCGTGATCGTAAGCCAGCATGTTCGAAAGATTTACACTAGGATTCGTCTTTTCCTCTTCTACGCTTTCAGAATTTGTGACAAATTGTATTCCCCCATATCGGCTGCACTTTCCTTTCGTATTTTTTCTTTGCTTGGATCAGAAAAGCACAATCTTAATTTGCAAATTCAGTAAGCTTTCTCTTAGCAGGGTCCATTGCCAAGATAGCCTTAGTTGATCTGTTTGTGTATAAGCATATTGATGCATGCGATCGATTTATCATCTGTATTAAGTATAAAGAAGACTATCATCACATCCCCTTGTTCGTTCCTAAATAAGACTTCTGTCTGCACGCACCACTGCGTACCACTTGGGTTTTGGTGGCCCAGTGGTTTAGTCACTGTTAGCGGCGTGCTTTGGACCCCGTAGTCCGAGTTTTGAGCCGCATCACCGCCACCCAACTTTGGTGGTAGGCAGCTTTGCTGTCGTCCGGTTCCATACCTCGTCTATTCTAGTGGGCTGTATGTGGTTGGCTGCTCTAAGTCCCTTAAATCATCAGTTTCCATCACAGAATAGTAGGTCTTCTCAACTATGAGGTTTACCCTGTCTGCTGTTCATCACCCAAAAATATGTGTACTAAAAAATACGAACAATGGTCTCCCGTATTTTGAATTTATTGTAGTAAATCCGATACCTATCATTGTTTCCGATTTCTGGTAGACTTCAACCTAAGGATTAGAACGAATCAGCTTCATGGATGATTCCGTGAATAATCTTGGGAGTCTGATACAAAGTGCTATCGCCAGTAGTATTCGCATTTCTCCTTTAGGCTGCTCCTCCAGCCTTTGTAGATACAAGTGGCAACTGTGGAGTAGCAGGCTGATATAGATGACCCTATTTGGCACTGGGTCGGATACGCACACGTCGCGATGATTTGGACAGATGTTTGCGTCTTTTTTTGCGGCAGAGAGATTACATGCTTGGTTAATACGCGCCATGTCCTGGTCACTGCTTATTCAGTGAAACAGTGCCCGCCTACTCACGGTGAATCACCTAAATACACTCTCTTTTTCGTTACCCGGTTACTCGCTCGGTAGCTCACAGTTCCGCTTTAGCCTGCATATCATTTTGGACGTCAGTGATAATCTATCGCGCTAGTTTTACTTACATTCAATTACTCACGCTTGTTTTCTGACCTTTTACTATCATGTTCATTTTATGCACATGTTTCGCCACAGTCCCTGGTTGAAGCCTCTGAGAAGTCACCCTCCCGGGTGGAAAAATCCTGTTCTGATCTATTTACCTTGTTTTGATTTCCCTCGGTAAATTCCACTTTGTACACTCGATACAGAAATTTTCACCACTTGTCACCGAATTCCTCGCCATCTGAACCCAGGTAAATCGACATCCGACCGTGGCTGCTCGCAATCAGTCCCCAAGTCCGGTATCGTGCCAGTTCCACCTACCACTCAAGTGACTATCGAGATCCGTATTGGCCCAAAAAACTTCAGCTATACCGTGCGATTGCCACCCGCCTCTATGCTTGTCATTTCGGATGAGCTAACTGATTTATTACATCAACTGGACGAAGCAGCTGCTCAGTTCGAGTACGAATTCGTTCGTTCTCTGTCCCGGCGATTGCGCACAGTGCAGGAGGCGGAAGATTTGCAGGTACGTTTCTTGGGCAGTGAGTGCTTTTTCCCATCGTGCCCGTAGCTTCGATTTTACCCATATTCCTTCGACTGCCTGAATGCCATTTGGTACTTTTGGTTACTCTGTAGGTGTTTGCGAGCGTCACGGAGGTATTCAAATATGATATTTTCACCAAGTGGCCGACGCGCGGACTCCGTAATTTTTTCCAGAATCATTTGTTTGTCTTTCGTAAGCTCCAAATATTTGTCCTGATTGATTTTGCCAGAAACCTTTCCTGGTCATTGTTAATGCATTTCGATATCCATCCAGATGTATGCCATCACGGCGAGACAGCACCTTGACGTGGTGCAATGGCTTATGCAACTTGACCCAACGAGCTACACAGGATGGCTTTTATCAAGCCAGGAGATGGGTACAGGTCAGACGAAGTCCACTCTAGTCCTCCAGGTTGGAAGTTCGACTCGAGTTAACGTCTCAGTCGATAAAAAATGGTGGAGGAGTAATCGATTCATGTAAATGGGCCTCCACTTCCCTTCACCCGCTGCGTTGCGGTTAGGTTCTTGTCAGAACTAAAGGCTTTGGATGAGAACCCTGGACGCTAGCAGTATCCGCCCATCAAACCCCAATGCATACACAAACTAAAAATAATTCCATACTACATCGGCCATCGCGCAGGATAATCAGGCCGCGGTGCCCATTGCATCGAGCGGGATGGGTAGTGATATGTGAGCTGCTGTTCAGATATCCCAACCTTTGTCTAACTCTTTGTCTTCCGTACCCAGCCTTCCCCATTTACCCCTTCTTTCGACCTGTAGTAATCCCTCAAGCAATTCAGATGTCACTCGCCAAAGGTCATTGCCAAATAACAATATGAGTAGTTTACCACGATATGAATTGCGGATTCTAAAGCCTTGTCATGCCTTGATGCAGGTAAGTCAATAATCTTGCTTGGCTCTTACAACGCAGTCCTTAGAGGTCGATATTTGCTGCGCGTCGGAGACTCGAGAATACTACTACTGTAAGCCACATGGGGGCTCCAGGTTTGTCCGCGACGTACGTTCTTCACACATCAGGCCTCGACGAATCCCACAGTAGGTCAGCGCGGTACAGATATTGTTCTCAGTAACAGGGCTGAGTCCCCTCTCATCGATTGGATCCCCATAAATAGCTTTATATGTGCAGTTCGTCCTCAAGTTTCAATAACCGTCCGGAAGGGAAGCAACACCAAAAGGTGTTTGTTCATCGTATCAGCATATGCACCGACCAATTGCAGTTCTGATACCCAAAAGGACGCTTTCAACGACGAACTCACCAATTTCATTCGCATGAGTCGAAGCTCCGACATAGTTGTACTTGCAGGTGACTTCAACGCGCAAGTTGGGAAACTGAACGCATCAGAAGCTTGCCTAGGCGGTAGTTGTGCTCTGCCCAGCTAACGAACCGATAACGGCGATCGACTTCTTCAGTTCTGCGCAGACCATCACCTGTTCCTATCAAGCACCAACTTCCGGCATAGCTCTCGACGGACGGCAACGCGGCGCTCCAGTTCAACTGGTACGCTAACTCAAATCGACCACATCGCAGCAAGCTACCGTTGGCGTGGCTTAGGTCTTATTGGACCACCTGCGTTGAGTCTGACCACGCATTAGTTTTGATGCAGTTCACTATTCGACTGACTGGTCGGCGACGAATTCAGCAAACTCGGATAGCTCATCATCGACTATTTGTTCCAGCAGTTGGTGTACGCTATGAATCAGAACTAGTGCGTGAGCTAAGCGCACCTCAATATGGTGATGTAGATGAGCAGTGGTATCAGTGGTATCAGACGAGCACTGCATTCCGCAGCAAATGTTGCTTGTGGGTCTGAGCCTCAAACCCGTCGGAGGTATTGGATATCTCAGGAGTCAGTAGCCCTCATGGAGCAAAAACGGCAAGTCCCAGGATCAAAATAGAGTAAGGCGGCAGCTACAACGTCGGTTCACGAAGAGTCTCAAAAAGGACCGTGAGAACTGGTGAGCAACAACAGCTAGTGAAATGGAAGTAGCAGCTGCATCCGGGAATGGTCAAAGACTGTTCCGACTGATACGCAATACGTTAGGTCGGCGAACTCCATTTAGTGAAACAGTTTGCGATAAGAGGGGACGAGCTATTCACAATAGGGATCAACGACTCGATCGCTGGGCAGAATACTTCGACGAACAGTTCAGTTGGCCTAGTGCTAACCAGGCTGCTTCATTTCCGACTGAAGCTCCGTGGGCAGTGTCATGCGATCCTCCAACGGAAGCAGAAGTTCGGTCTTGCATTCAGACTCTGAAGCGAGGAAAGGCATCAGGAACTGATGAGCTCCCTCCCACTCTTTTCAAGATGGGAGGTGGTTACCTCGTAACCTCTATTACTACGCTACTGCGCAACATTTAGATGCAAGAGCGCATTCCTTCATCTTGGGGCGAATCACTGATCGTTCCCATTTTCAAGAAAGGATCACGCAACAATTGCGAAAACCAACGCGGGATCAGTTTGATCCCGATCGTCACCAAAGTGCTAGCTTCGGTGATACTTCGACGTCTGACGCCTTTAAGAGAGACCAACGTCCGTGAACAGCAAGCCGGATTCCGGCCTGGCCGTGGATGTATTGATCGAATTTTTACTTTGCTTCAGATCCTTGTGCTGCGTCACACCCACCGTCAACCAACAATCGTGGTGTTCCTTGACCTGAAAGGAGCCTTCGACTCAGTTGACCGCTAAGCTCTGCTGAGTTTCCTTCTTCGAAAAGGAATGCCCGAGAGGTACATTAGCTTACTGAGGTTGTCGTACTCACATACCTCAGGTCGAGCGAGGGTTTACAGTGATCTATGTAGACCGTTCGTCAAAAGTGCTTTCTTTCCCTATTCCTGTTCGACTTCGTGATAGACGAAATTCAGGAGAACGCACTCAATGGTCTCCAAAACGTAGGTATTGAATGGGCAACTGAAGAAAAGCGGTGCGATTTCGAGTATGCCAATTACATCGTCTATCTATTGGAATTTATGGAGGATGTGCAAAACGCACTTGATAGACTAACAAGTGCTGTTGCTACATTCGGTATTTGCTTTGTAGCTTCAAAGTGCAAAATAATACTGTATGACTGGGTTTCCCTACTCCCGCTTTGAAACTAACTGGACAGATATTAGTTATAGTAGTTGCTTTTCCTACTTGGTTAATGTTGCGACCAATAACGGTAGCGCAACAAAGCAGATAATCGTCCGCATTCCCAATGCTCGTGCGTAGTACGCAGGATTGAAACACCTTTGGCGTAGGCGCGACGTTTCACCACCGTCGAAAGTTCGTGTGTATTGTGCTGCCGTTCGCTCAGTTCTGTTTTATGGTTCTGAGACCTTGAATTTGCGAGTAGAAGATATCCATCGACCAGAAGTTTTCGAATATCGGTGTTTACGTAGTTTAACCTATGTGGGATGGAACCAACGGACTAGTAATGTGGAGGTAAGCCGTCGTGTATTTGGAAGTCTATTAGGTATAAACCTGCTAGCACATTGAATTCAGATTATTAGACTTCACTGGCTAGAGCACGTAATGCGTAGACCTAGCTTCCGCCTACCACGTCGCGCCTTATTCGCTGTAGCTCCCCTGGGCTGGAGGAAACCACTTTGAGGTCAACAGATGATGTGGAGACGAAGCATGAAGAGATGCACAGAGCCATTAGGTAGAGTAGGTGTCTCTCGTCTTCCAGGTTAGGGTCCGAAAGACCCTCCAACTGGTAAATTGGAGACATTTAAGGATATGGCAGAAAACCGATAGCAGTGGCGCTCTTGTAATGTATGATCAGGCTAGAATGCTCGAAGCGGTATGTACATAGAGTTCAACGACGGGTACTAGGATCAGATAGTCTTCCTTTGAGCAAAATAATTTCACGACATCTTAGGTGGATGGGGCACAACCTACGAATGCCTGAGCAACGCCTACCACACCGCGCACGATTCGCAGACGTTGGTCCAAGCTGGAAGAATGAGCGAGGTGGATAGGTTATAACGTGACGCAGAGGGTTAAAGAGATTGTGCTCGAATCTGGCTTTCGTTGG